ATTTGCTAGGAAAAATGAGTATAAGTTCTTATCGAAGACGGTAATGTGAGATCACCTGCCCTTTAAAAACCTGTGACTTTCAGACACGCGTGGCAGGAATTCGATAGAATCAATGATACTAGTCAGCCTTGTCCTCGATCTATTTCCAACATAAAAGCCAGCTGGAATGTGTGTGTGTGTGTTTATGTTGGAGTGTATGTCAGTGTGCCCTTTGTGTATTGTGTACATCAATCAACAAAGTTGTTTTTTTAAAGGTTTACTAAGTACAAGGCCATTGAGCCAATAAGGTAGCCTACTTCTCTCCTATTTAAAAATACGCCCATATTATTTTATTTTTCCTTTATTAGGTTGAACTAAATAGGCTTTTACACATAGAAAGTCATTCAATTCAAGTGATTCTAGTTTCTTTCTGTAACGTAACGAAGGGATGAATACATCAGTGGTTACCTGGAGAAACCATTGCATAAAGTTCAAATTCTTATCTGGCATTAGATTATTTGCAGACTATTGCATAATATATAGAACAATAAAAACAAGATAATGTAATTTTACAAAAAGAATTAGATTTTCAGAAATGTGAATCAGATTTGAGTATGTCTTTCCACCCAGAAAAAAATGCCAGTTATTAAGAGTAACAAAAAAAAAATCCCTAAAACAAAAACTACTTTCTTAATTCATGGTAGCCTAGTTACACAGACTAAAAACTCAAAATATCTAGGTGTAATAATAAATGGAAAGTTATCATGGAATGCTCATATAAATGACACTATTGGAAAAATCAAGCTAAACATTAGGGTTTACTGTGACAAAATTTTACAAATCAAATAATAACATAAATCTAAAATGCTATTAAACTTTAGTTAGGTCAATATTAGAATATGCATCTTCTGTTTGGGATAATTCAACTCAAGAAAACATAAAGAAACTAGAACAAATACAAAATAGAGTAGTGAGATTTATAACTAACGAATTTGATTATAGTAACACCATTAGTAGGCTAAAATCACTAAACTTAGAGACACTTCAGGACAGAAGAATAAAAAAGTAAAGTAGCTATAATACGTAAAACATATAGAAAAACAAAACCTAATGAAATAATCAGAAAGACACAAAGAAAGAGTCACATTTCTTATCCCACACGCTAGAACAAATTCATGCAATTGATCAACTTTCCTAGTACCATTAGAGAATTAAATCGGTTGCCTGGATCAGCCAGGAAAAACAACTACTTAGGAGAGCTTAAGTCATTGATTAACATGCATGACTTGATTGACACATGAAATGCGTATGGCGTAATTATCTTCTTTTTGAAGTAACGTCTGTAATATATAAGATAAGATTGCATAATTAGCTCCATTATAAGATTTTTTTCAATCAGGTTAATGATAAAATAAACGTATACATACAATGTGGATATCAACATGTGAAAGGGGGGGGGGAGGGCTGAATGGCATTAACCGTTTGAATACCTATTAAGGGGGGGGGGGGGATTAAGTTCGCCTAAAGTTTAAAGGCAGCATAGAAGGTAACACTAGCTTTCAAAATCTTGAAAACATTGTCACAAATGCCTATATTTACAATAACAATCTACTTTGAAATTCTCGTTTTGTAATGATTATGCATTGAATGTTTTTTCCCTAAAAACATTGTTAGCTTTTGGTCATGATGTTTTTTTCTCGGCATTGATTTACAAACCATAAGCTGCGCATCACCAAGTCAGCTAGCTCTTCCTCTGCCCCTGAAGGACTATCTATGTCACACGCAAAACGCAAGTTCTTACGTCAATGCTTACAGTGCCTTTGTAATCTTCAAGATCATCTTCCACTCAAAACAAAAATCCACAAAACTGGAACTAAAAACTGTCTCAAAAAGACCAATTTCATACAGGAATCTCTAAAACTAAAAAAGAGACAGCAACTTGAAAAAATAACTCTTGAATCCACGAGACATCATAGGGAATATCCACCCTGGGACAAAAGCTCTCTTCCTACTTTAAGAGACCATATTGAAAATATAACAAACAAATGTACCTTCCAACAGGGCTCAAGAAATAGTGAACTGTTTAGTACAAACTCATTATCCTAGCAATCAGTGAAGGAGCTGGAATACTCATCGAATGGCCAGATGGAGAAAAACTAGAAAAATCCATTGTAACTATGGAGAGCTCTCTGACAGCCACATAGCAGAAAGGGAAGCACTAGCATTAGCTGCTACCATGCTAGCTAATCATCCAAGTACACCACACAGTAAGATTGTCTTTCTAACCGATGCGAAAACAATCATTCGAAGCTTGGAAAACTGATTCCTCTTATATCCTATTCGCAAGGAATATTCAAGACATGATTTAATTTTGATGGTCAAAACTAATAATCTTTCAAAGAGTCATTTGCCGGTGTAAACAAAGTGTTTTTTTTTTTTTTAAATTCTGTTTTACATGTTTCGGATGTTCCTTCTAAGTTAAAAATAATTGACTTCTCGCTGGACGACGGATGATGGCAGCGAGTAGGGTTTGAACCCTGCCTGGTCGTGCAGTTTGCGCGCTGGACTATCGTTCGGACTTAATGATGGTCCCTGGTTCAAACCCAGCCCGCTCCCATCCCCCCCCCTCGTCCTGCGGAAGGTTTGGACTAGGAAGTAAACTATCTTCAACTCTAAAGGAACATCCGAAACACGTAAAACAAACAAACAACCCGGGACCATTGGGATAATCAGTTCAGCAAGCCAACTGCACGACCAGGCCTTGCTCTTAACTTAATAACTAAACTGGTTACAAACTAATAGCCTATTATTGATAAACAGATATATTACATATTACGGGATGGCATCTACCGGGTATGTACAATATGTCAGACGAGTAAATTACTTTCTTATTTTAAAATCCTGAACAACCTATTGTCGATATTTTGGAAAAAAAAAGGTTATTTGACATAAATTTGTTTTAAGCTGAAAATACGGAACAATTGGATATCGATAATTAAACCATAGTGACTTATTGTCCAAGAATATAAGAGTAAGGTAAGTCAATGATGATATTTCAAATAATCGTTTTATAAAACAATATCCGGAACAACTTCATAGTTCTTTATAGTTCATAGCTCGGGGGCCGCTAAAAATGAGAACGAAGAAGAAAAATCTTCCACTATCATTTCAAGGAAATATTGAAAACAGTTGGGGAAGTAGACAACCTTGTCTCACTCACTCCAGCTGTGGTTTTAAACCAGTCCCCAATGTTATTGTTGAAGTACACTGTACTAGCGGCCTGGTCGTAAAGGTGCTGGGTTACTTTTATTATGTTTGTATTTATATTGAACTGCTCAGGCCATTCTCCTGATTGCCAGGTCTTGTTGAAAGACTTTAAAAGTGAGTCTATCATGGTTTCTCCTCCAGCCTGTAGAATTTCGTCAAGAATGTTGTCAACTCGTCTGATATTTCTTTTAGTCAGGGATTTCAACACTGTTAATACATCCGACCTAGGAATGGAAGTTGTCGGTTTTAGTAACTCAGGATTGATTTCTTAATGTTTGAAAGGTATTCAATTAAGAGCAATATTCAGTCTATCTCCTTATCACATTTTGTCCATTAGCCAGGCAGTGGTTGTTTTTGTTTTGTATTATGGTGGTTCTTTCATGTTTTGAAGCGAGACCAATCATTATAGAAGCCCTGAACACTGACCTTCAACGTCACAACCTGTGGGCAGTTTAGGCCAACATTCACTGCCACGTCAAACGTATGTACGTCGTCTATTGAAGTCCTATGTGTGCTGGTACGCTTTACTGCTCAGTCCATCTTCCATTTCTTTGACCATATTTTCTATACAATTCATTCAAGCCCTTCTTTATCAACAGGTCAACACTTTTGAATTCGTGGGCATATTTAGCACATTTCATTCTAATGACACACTTCTTTTAAAACAATTTTCGATATGTTAACTATATTTAAAAATGGAATATTTTCTTCGGTGGTCGCCCTTGGTTGAATGCCCATTCCATTTAGTAGGGTGCATAGTAAAATGAAATACACTGGATTGAGTTATCTTCCTTTCCGGTCAATTTGTAGTCAGTGACACAAAAAAACAAATTTTAAATTCCAATTTCAAAATTTAGGGAGCTATAGTTATTACCAATAGACAAGCAACTGCTACACTGGGATTGTGAAACAATGCCAATGGGACCCACATTGATTAGAGCAGGTAGTTAAACTAGCATGTGGTCAATTATTTGCTAGGTTTTTGTGTATGGCCATCAGGAATAACTCTCCTAAACACTAGGCTCAAAAAATGTGAGCTCAACCCAAAACTTTCTGCTTTAAGGAGCCGATAGTTTTCAGGCATGCAATGAAAAAAATTGCTATCTAAACAGTTGTTTTAAGAATTTTACCATTTTAAAATAAACGTGAATTCTTAACAGTGCATTAAGGTCTCTGTTCTTTAAAGTTTGTTTGTTTGTAAAATGTTTTACATGTTTCGGATGTTCCTTCAGAGTTGAAGATAATTTACTTCCTAGTCCAAACCTCTTGCAGAGCAACAGGGGATGGGAATGGGCAGGATTTGAACCCGGGATCATCAATAAGTCCAAATGACAGTCCAGAGCACAAACCGCACAACCAGGCAGTCATCCTGTGGGACATTAATGAAGGACTTTGTGACCAAACATTAAACAATGTTTGAATTCCCTTTTCATGAGCAATTGCTATGGATAGATGATGTCTGAATATGTACAGAGACAAATCTGTTCAAGTCAAAATACTGACAATACATTTTGTTTGGATACCAATCTAGTGTTTATTAGGAGAAAGAAAAAAAAAGATCAGCATATTACAGTCAATTATTTGGAAGCTGATAGATTAATATCATAAATAAGATGACAAATGAAGTGAAAAAAAGCAAACAAGAAATAAGAGAATTCTTACTATACATGTAACAAAACATTTCACAATAAATAAATAAAATCACTTTCTTGTGGAGACTATTTAAAGAAAGCACTATCTCACACTGTCCAGCTCATATAACCACAGGAGAAAAAAAAAAGAGAGAAAAAAAAACACTTTTAGATCCTTTCTCATAGAGGCTACAATATATAACTAGTGGTCTCCTTGACCTCAGGTCAGACAGACAGGAGATAAAGGCCAGAGCCAGCTGGCACTTGAGATGACCACTGGACTGGGTCAATAATCAGTTCAAGTTAACAAGGGAGCCAGCTCTAGATAACAGAGTAGACTAAGGATGTAATAACTCGACAGGCAAGGCTTATACTGCACAGAATACTACAACTTAGTTCTCTAGTTTGACTTGGTGTGTCTAGTGAATATCAGTCTGTCTGATACTTTCAAAAAATGATCCTTTTCACTCTAAAACTAACACATCATAAAATGGATAAAAATAACTAAAGCTAGCTATGTCTGTAGCATTACTACCAACACCAATAATTTATCTGACAGTGTCACTGTTTCTTTGTTGTTGTTTTTTATAATATCAATGCACTCTTCTCACAATGCATTAACAAATGCAAATAAAATAAAATATAAAGTAGCATATTTATCTTTTTCTTAGAATCAAGTAAAATCAAGACTATGGGAAAGCAAAAAACAACATTATGAAATTATTGTCATTACAGTCAACATAGTCAAAAAAAAACCCAGCTTAAAGAACTAGTGACCTTTGAGATAGATTAGGAATGACAAATTATTGTATTGAGCAAATATTAATGAAATACCGGTACTAAACAAATAACACAAGTTAGGGTAAAATGTATAAGTGACAATGGGATGGCCAAATGTAATCTTGAGCTTGTCTTGTCTACTTACTACTTGTGGAAAATTAATCTTTTATATCCATTTCATTGATCCTGCTCTATCTCCAAACATGTTCACTTGATGGCACAGAGAGTACAATGAATCTTGACAACCAGCCAGTGAGAAAGAACTTTATGGAATCTTCTACTTCTCATTATGTTCAATACACGTTATCTATTTTTTTTTTTAATTTAATAAGCCACTTAGTGAGACTAAAATAATGGGCTGAAAAATTCCTAAGTAATAGAAAAGCTAATTCCCCTGTAGTCAATGTTTTACAAGAAATGGCATCTCTTACTTTACGAAATGATTGTTTTTTCTCTTGTCCTGTTTGGTGTCATGTTGCTAAATTAAACTTCTTACAGAGATCAAAACTCTAAATGAAACCAAATAGTTCAATCAGGATTGGAGTTTAAAGATGTCAAGGTTAGGTATGCAACATTGTCTTAAAGTCATGTCAAAATATAAAATAAAGTGCAACAAAAAACAAATTTGGTGCTTGTAAGGAATGAGACACATGTAAGCAGTGGTTTACATAGTTTTAAGGTTATACAAATATATGTTCCCAATAGTGTTAATATATTTAAAAAGACCTTACAACTGAATCAGTGTGCTAATGATAGGCTTGATAACAAAAAAGTCCTGATAAACACTGGAAGTGTGTCACTCACTTACTTAGCATATAGTCTACAACAAGTGCATTTAGTGCACAATGGCTACTATATCATTAATAACTAGGACGTCTACCAAACTGTTGAGCAATAGACTGAATTATAGGGTTTGAACGACTGTTAAAACTTAGAACTTACATGTTTTTTCAAAATGTTAACTTTCTGACATACTCAGTAAATAAACAGTTTCTGGGGCTACTGGACAAGCCAGGAACTATGCCATGATTAAACCATTGAGTCAAATATCAAATAACAGAGTCTATATTAACAAATATATAGATATATATTACATAAAGAAAACAAAAACAAAACAATGGGTAACAGTGACCTAAGAAAACTAAATGTGTGTCAACAATCTTGTTGTACATCTGATTGTTCCATTTAAACTATTAAATACAAATGTGATGACAAACTAGAATGTGATATTGAAGTTATTAAAATAATTTATTAAGACGTGTTTTTCAGAGTGTAAGGCTCGTGAATACAAATAAATTGAAACATGACAAAAAGTTTTTGGCTTTACATATGTAGCAGTAGCATTAGAATGTTTCCATAGAGAGTCATCCATAAAATAATTAGCTAAATAACAAAGAAAATATAATAAATATTTTAAAAAAAAAGCTTATATTAAGTGTAATTGTATCAATTAGTTTGGATCAGTCAATTCGTAATAGATCTAGACTAACAATAATAAATCTGTATGAAATATTGTTATATCGATACCAAACAAAATAATTAATTACCAATAATTAACTAATTGGTTAATTTTTAAAATTAATTCTTGTTTTGTCAGGTACAAAAAATAATAGTGCAAAATTTCAAATTGATACAAGATTGGGTATGGGAGAAATAACTTTATACCAGACAGAGTGAGTTGATATAAGCTTTGTACTAAGTAGTATGCTAAGAGCTATTCTACATTTTAGTTCAACTTTATTTTGTCTACATCATAATCACTTGAAAAAAAAAAAAAATAGCAAACAAAGCAAATATTATTTGGTTTTGGGCTTATTGAGGTTTAAAAAAAAAAGACTTGACGTAAATCTACATCATTCATCAAGTTTGATTTAAAAAGTAAAAATAATGTTCATTTTAAAAAAGAAGACAGTAATATTTAAAATTAACAGCTACCCTGTACAGTTTCAAGTTCATATTATAGAATAAAACCCTTGATCAGGTTCTAAATTTCAGTCTCAAGTTTAGAGACAGTTATGTGTCTTACTTCTTGTTGAGGCTCTGGCATCTTTGATTTCAAGGCAGGTGATGAATTTAGAACTACTTGCAGCCTGCTGATGACAGGAGTCAACTTTGGTGTCAGTGGAGCATCCCTTTTTACAGGTGAAGTTGTCTTACTTGCCCCACTTGTGGTGCTGGATGTCCCAGTGGAGCATTGCTGAGTTCCATGCCTGACAGGACTTTGAAACTTCTGAAAGAAATTCTTTCGTTCAGTAAAGCTAGGGAAAACATTTGATGTTCTGCTCCTGCGCCTCACTGTGTCTTGAGCCAATCCTTCTGTATGGCTGGAACCGTTGACTTCCTCAATGTCAGTTTTGCTTCTACGTCTGTTTATAGACAAGCCAGTGATAGCCTTCTGACTGCCAATTTTGCTGCTGCGTCTACCAGTGGATAAACTTGTCAGCACACTTTGAACCCCGACCATACTCCTTTGTCGACTTGCTGTTGAAGAAGTAACAGATAAATCTTGCTGAACAGTTTTGCTTCTGCGCCTGTTAGATTCTGAACAAGTTAATGATGAATCTTGCTGAACAGTTTTGCTTCTGCATCTTGTGTTTTCACTGAAGTTGACCTGTTTTTTGACAGGAGTGTGCAAGATGTTGGATAACTTTCCAGGTAAATTATTTGTGAACCTGCTAACAGCTACAGCATTAATATTTCTTTGAACATAGTCTTCTTTCATTTGATTAGATTTCATAGCGCTGATGTTGGTAGGTTTCACTGAAACTAATCCATTTTTGTTTGGAGAGCTTCTACATTTTGTCATGGCAGTTGATGGTCTAACACCTCTAGAGGACAAAGATGTTAGTTTAGGCATTACTGTGGGTTTCGGCATTACTGGGGGTTTGACCTTTTGTGGTGTTTTCAATGGAGACCTTGAGCCAGAGAGATGTAAGCAGCTCACATTATCAATTTGTATTATTTCATTCACAGGATAAGAATCCATCTTTTCTTGTATCATTGGAGCTGACAAACTTTCTTCTGTGTAGTCATTGTGCAGAGAAACACAAGCAGTTTGTGTTAAGGTCATGTCATTCCTATTAGGTGTCTCTTCTTGGGGTGACTTTTGGTGCTTAGAGCTCGGAGAGCAGACAGATGATTTTTGTTTGCTTCTACTTCTCCTTCTCTCCGTGACCCAGCCATCATCGTCAATAATTTTGGGGCTAGCTCTAATGCTGTGGTATCTCTCTAACCCACTTGTGACTTTTTCTAGTTTACACTGAAATGGATCTTTTGATTCAGAATCAGCATATATTTGACTGCAGTCATTTTCCATTTGTTGTGCAGCACAAGTCTGTAGAGACTGGAAGGCTTCAAACTTGGCATCTGTTTGTGAATTGTTTGTATAAGTCAGGTAGGAAATAGCCTCCCCTGAATGGTTTATATCTAATTCATGTGTTGCTACATCAAAATTGTTCTGTTTCTTGAATACCTCAAATGTAGTGACATTAGTTGGTCTGGTACAATGAAAGCTAATAGCAACAATTTTGTTTTCTACAAGGTGGTCATGGTCTGTTGGTTGTGGTGAGTTACACATAAGATGGGCTGAGCTACTCATTACATGTGATGTCTTTTGAATGTTGGTCACTGGTTCAGAGCTAACAGATGATGATGCTCTTAGTATTGAGTGACTTGTTGAAGTGCTGTTGACATTATCAGAAAAACTGGAAGGAAGGTTTGATTGTTCCATAGATTCATCTACAACAGTTTGAAAAGAAGCTATTCTCTTGACTGGCTGAGTCCTGTGGGTGGAGGATTTCTGAAATGTTAAGTCAATCCTTGGTTTCTGTTCTGTTGAGTAGGATTTATTACTTGCATTACTGACTTCAGACAAAAGGGGATTTATAACGGACTTTGACAATAACTGGCTGTCTTGAACATGTAATGTATCAGATACTGCAGAGCTTAGTAAATCCTCATTGCTGGAGTAGCCTTCACTCTCACTCATCTCAGTGGCACAAATGGTGGCTGTCTTCTCACCAAGTTTAGTCACAAAAGAATTGATTGTCTTTCTGGGTAGCATTAAAGACAACTGAGAATCAACTCTTTTGTGGGGAGACATTTTGCTTGCAGGAATCCTTATCTCAGGTGACTTTTTCTGTTTGCTGGCTTTGTCTGCTTGAGATGAGGTTTTAAATTTATGGAGAGAAGTTGGCTTACCAAGAACACGCCTCCCAAGCTGTCGGGTGGGGGAGGATGGAAACAGCTGATCCTCCTCTGCCACTAAACTGTTAGTGGAAGTGTGGTTTTGGAGTTTGGCAGTGCCAGGATTTGTTTCAATATCACTTAAATTCCCAAGGCCAGCTACGAGCTGCATGGGTGATGGAAGTTGGTTTGAAAGATTTTGGGAGGTGCTCTGAACTTTGCTGGGAGAAGTGATTTTGTTTGGCGAAGTCTTTTTAATGAGAGAAGTGACATTGATGGGGGAAGTGATTTTATTGGGGGAACCATTTCTTTTGGGGGAACTATGAGATGATATAAATGACTCAAACTCCAATTTTTCTTTTGATTGCTTAGTAAAATAAGCTTGAGATGTTGGATCAATATAATGGGTTCCAGGCCTTCGCCTCAAGGGATCATTTGTCTCAGTGTCTTTGACATCTTTAGCAAATGAAACCTTCCTTTTTGGCGATGCTACAGATAACTTTGAAGATTTTCCAAAAGTCAGTCCTTTACCTGGAGTA